TGAATTTTAGTAATGTTTCTTTTATCAACATGGATGCCTTTGTATTTGGGGCATAGATGTTCAGAATTGAAACTTCATCTTGATGAATTTCTCCTGTGATGAGTATGTAATGCAGTCTAAAGATTCTATGCAATCCCTATTAAAATACCAGCACAATTCTTCACAGACCTTGAAAGAATAATAATCAATTTTGTATGGAAAAACAAAAGACCCAGGATACCCAAAACAACCTTATTCAACAAAGCAATATCTGGAGGCATCACCATCCCTAACTTCAAGCTCTATTATAAAGCTGTAGTCCTGAAAACAGCTTGGTATTGGCACAAAAATAGACAGGTAGACCAATGGAATCAAGTTGAACACCCTGATATTAACCCATACATGTATCAGTATCTGATCTTCGACAAAGAAGCTAAAAATATACAATGGAAAAAAGAAAGAAACTTCAACAAATGGTGCTGGCATAACTGGATGCTAGCATGTAGAAGAGTGCAGGTAGAACCATGTATATCGCCATGCACCAAACTTAAGTCCAAATGGATCAAAAACCTCAACATAAATCCAGCCACACTGAACCTCTTAGAAGAGAAAGTGGGTGGTACCCTTGAACGAATTGGTACAGGAGACTGCTTCCTGAACATAACACCAGTAGCACAGACAGTGAGGTCAACAATTAATAAATGGGACCTCCTGAAACTGAGAAGCTTCTGTAAGGCAAAGGACACAGTCAGCAAGACAAAAAGGCAGCCCACAGAATAGGAAAAGACATTCACTAACCCCACATGTGACAGAGGGCTGATCTCCAAAATCTACAAAGAACTCAAGAAGCAAGTCTCCAAAACACCAAAGGATCCAATTAAAAAGTGGGTTACAGAACTAAATAGAGAATTCTCAATAGAGGAGTCTAAAATGGCTGAGAGACACTTGAGAAAGTGCTCAGCATCCCTAGCCATCCGGGAAATGCATATCAAAACAACTCTGAGATATCATGTTACTCCTGTCAGAATGGCTAAAATCAAAAACACCAACTACAGTTTATGCTGGAGAGGTTGTGGAGAAAGGGGAACACTCCTCCACTGCTGGTGGGAGTGCCAACTCATACAGCCACTTCGGAAATCAGTATGGAGATTCCTCAGAAAAATGGGAATAAACCTACCACAAGACCCAGCAATTCCACTCTTAGGCATATATCCAAAAGATGTACATTCATACATCAAAGATGTCTGTCCCACTATGTTCATAGCAACATTATTTGTAATAGCCAGAACTTGGAAGCAACCTAGATCCCCTTGAACTGAAGAGTGGATAGAGAAAATGTGGTACATTTACACAATGGAGTACTATTCAACAGAAAAAAAACCAATGGAATCCTGAAATTTTCAGGCAAATGGATGGCACTAGAAGAAACCATCCTGAGTGAGGTAATCCACTCACAAAAAGACAAACATGGTATGTATTCTCTCATATATGGATTTTAGGCATAGATCTGTGGAGTGCCAGCCTACAATCCCACGGCCAGAGAGTCTGGGAAACAGAACCTTCATCCAGTGGCTGATGGAAGAGGCAGACTCCCACAGGTAAACACTGAGCTGAACTCAAGGAACCCAGTGACAGAGAGGGAGGACTGATGAACAAAGGGGTTAAGACTGGGCTGGTTTAACCCCCAGAAACAGCTTACCTGACAAGGGTTAGCTCTTGAACCCCAGACTGATGGCTGGGAATCCAGCATGGGACTGATCAAGACCCCTGAATATGGCTGTCAGTGAGGAGGCCTAGGCAATCTATTGAGCCTTGGGTAGTAGATCAGTATTTATCCCTGGCATACAAATGGACTTTGGACTCCCATCCAACAATGAGAGATGCACTCTCACCCTGAACTCTGGGGGAAGGTTCTAGGCCCTGCCCTGGATGAAATGACAGACTATGGACACCCCCATGGATGGCCTCACCCTCCCTGGGGAAATGAGGGGGTGTTAGGAGGGTTGGGAGGGCATAGGAGAAGGGGAGGAAAAGGGAGAGGGACCTGGGATTGACATGTGAAGCAACCTTGTTTCTAATTTAAATTTAAAATAAAAGAATAAACCTTCAAGCTTGGAGTTCATGTTCCAACGGCATTAAGTAGCATAGCAGCTTCAGCACATAGCTGCCCTGCACCACTGTTCTCCACTTCCCCCAAGCACACCCTTTCATGGAGCTATCACCATCTACACCATGCACAGGAGATGCCCGTTATTGGTTTCCAAAAACAGAACAAAACCATTAATTATGTAAGCTGTTAAATTTATGGCACCTAGCCAGGACAAATGTTTGGAAAAGATTTTCACTGCAGAGGACTTTCAGTGCTTTAGTTAGGTTGATTACTGGATATTTTTACTGTTTTTGAGGCTGTTATGAATGGGAATATGTCTGTGATCTCTTTCTCAGCTTGTTTGTTGGTGGTGTATAGATAGAATTACTGAATTTTGCAAATTGATTTTATAACCTGCTACTTAGCTTAAAAGTGTTGAACATTCCTATACATTTGCTGATGGGATTTTTGGAATCACTTAAGTACAGTCTTGTATCATCTGCAAAGACAACTTGCCTTCTTTTCCTATTTGTATCCCTTCAGTCTCCTCTTGTCTTATTGCTCTAACTAGTGCTCCTAGTATTGTGCTGAAAAGGAATGAGGGCAGTGAACAGTCCTGTCTTGTTCCTGATTAAAATGAAATTGCTTTAGGTTTCTCTCTGCCTAGGAATACGGTTTCTGATATGTCATGTATTTATGGACCACTAGTCAGAAATCGAGTCAGAAATCTCACTTGACATCTACTGTTGAAAACTGTGCCTAGAACCTCTTTCTCACCTTTTCAGCCCAGTGGTCCTTAAAGACTCGCCTGAGCTCATTAACTCCATCAACTTGCACCGACACCTGTGTCATCCACTTCCCAGGCTCTCCCTCGGTCTGATGACTTATTAGGATGCTCTCAGTGTCTGCTCATCTTCTGCTACTCCAGTCCCCACCACAACTGTTGCAGATCATTCATTTGCATGTTGCTGCCACCCTAGGAGTATGGACAGGCAGCTGGCCAACCAAGTTGTAATTGTGGTAGAACATGAGGTACGGTACATTGGGCTCTGTGGGGTGTTGGGCTGCGTTCTCCCTCATCAGTCTGAGATATAGACACCCCCAATTTGCTTTAAGTGTCTTCTGGAAGTAGTTATTTCCCAGTTAGCTTTGCTAACACTCGAATGCCACTAACTGTATCCCTCAGTAGACATGCTTGAGTGCCTGGTGATGCCCAACCAGGATGACTCGCTTCCAGCCCAGATCTTTCAGCAAATCACTTCCATGCCCACAGACGATGCCAGTGGTGAACGATGAACCCTGAAGAGATTGTGTCCAAGAACAGTAAAACCAGACTCTGTGAGTTTCCATCTGGGCAAATCTCAAGAATTAAGTCGTTCTAAATGATGACTTTCAAACTTAGTGCTTAGTAAGGAAATGCAATTTTCAAATAAAATTTTATAAAGAAAATATATGAAAGAAATTCTAATTGAGAAAAAAAGTATGGAGATTCAGTTTGTTCCCCTGCTTCTCACCCCAAATAACCCTACTGGTACCACTATGGAGTCTAATGGGCCAAGAATACCTAAGCAACTGCCCATAGAGCCTCTAAGAAGTCATTCACTGTGGCTTGGCATGGGCCATACCTGAAGCCAAAGTGCAGCCTTGCCAGGCTCTGTTTCAGGAATAGCTCCCATGAGAAGCACCTTTCTGCCTTGGTTCATCCATGGAAGCTTTGTTCCTGAAGCCTCAGGAGGTCTGGGGTCAGAAGGACCACATCATCTTAGATTCTTGACTATAAGCAATAGAAACTGGATCTGGCTACCTCAACTGGGTAACCAAAAGGAGCTTCCTGAACAAATGAGCTGTGACCCAGACTTAGAAGACAGCTTAAAGCTTTGGTGTAAATGGGTGTTTGTGAATCCCCAAAAATAAAAGTTGTAGGAGGCAATTAAAAGTCCCATCTGGAAGTCCTTCCCAGGATGGATTAAGCCCTAATTAGAACATGTGATGCCCCCAAAGGAAAACCAAGACACCCTTAAATGGAAGGTAGAGATGGTCTACGACAAAGCCCTCTGGGGTCAGAAGAGGGAACATAAACTTCAGACGCTGGTGCCCCTTTTGTGTCTCTGTCACAATGTGTAACCTCCTGGGTAACACCTATCTGCCCATGGGCCTCATATGTTCCAGAATCACTTATGAGTGTCAGCCAACACATTTGTACATGGCGATGCCATACTGCAGTATCAAAGGTTGGACATGCCTAGATCCTAGACCACTGGGAAGCCATGTGTCATGACTGTCCTGGTAAAGACAGTTATGACACTGGTAGCTCTGACTGCGGCCATGTGGAATGCTTCAGAGTCTTCACCAGCCTGATGCTTCTCTACTCTTGGCAGGTCTATGCTGCTGTCTTCTCTAGTTGCCTCTGCACCGCTACCCCAGCTCTCCTCTGCAGACACACTGTCTCTGTAGGGAAGGTGCCTTTCTCCCAGCTGTTACCACTGCTCATTTCCTACTTGCCCCCAAGAACTGGTGGCTGTGGCGCTGTTGAGATGAGCTTCTCTGGACTATCAGTTCCCCACCTTACACTGAGAACAAGAATCATGAATAGGTGCAGAGCCAAACACTAGAGGATCATGGGTAAAGAGCCAAAGTTCTAACCAAATGATGGGCACGATCAGAATGTGAGGCCAGAGCCAGATGCTGGGAGACCAAGGTCAACACTGGAGAAAGTCAAACGGTGAATTGACTGTGTGAGGTTCAGGTTTTACATCCAGAAAGAGTGAACAGATGTTCCTCTCACCAGGGCCCAGGGCTGTGCCTTTTTCACAGCCCAGAGCCTACCTGTCATGCAACTCCAACATAGACTGTCCAAAGCCAAAGGACAGTTCTCCCAGTAATCCCTCTAAATTCTTTTGTTTTGAGTCATAAGCCTTGGTTCCTACTCTATCCTAAGCAAAATGACTTGTATGCATGTGTGTGCCCATCAAACTCCATTGCCATTGATGTCTTCTTCCTATATCTAGGAACAACACCTGGTTATAAACAACTTCCTTCTCTACCACTTGAGACTAGTTACATGACTTCAAGACAGAGAAGCAGAGAAACCTAGTCTTCATGGCACATGACTCTGTGAGGCCGCAGCATGAAAGTAAGCAGAAGCTGCCAACAAGATGTCAAAGGAATAGGCGTGGATCATCTTGGAAATATTTTGCAAAACCAAGCATTTTTGCTGTTGTTGAAATGGGTGGGAAATCAATAGGTATTTGTGAATGAATGAATGAGAAGTTTTAAAGCAAAAATGTTGGCAATAATGCACAGTGAGTATGATAAGAGAGGAAATGGGTAGATCCTATAGACTGACACATGATTGCCACCAACAAATACGAAGAAATTCTCTACCAAGATCAGCAGAAGTGGGAGGAGGGAGACAGGCTTGAGAGACATCCGGGGTGGGATGACCACAGGCCACAGAGAAGGATGAGAAAAATCAAATAAGGCTCCACTGCCAAAGGGAAATGTGGCAATATCAGCATCAAGGAGAAACACTTCCAAGGTAACCATGGAAGCTAGAGTGTTGGGTTTGGACTCTGACTGTACCCACAGGGTTTGAGGCAGTGGAGGGAGGTATATACCTAGAGCTTCCAAAATCAGGGATGGCGACCACAGTGCTGGGTCAGGTATTGATGCTATTTTGCGGATGTTGAGTTCACCCAGAGCACATGGGATAATGAAAGCATGGAGCTACAGAGGAAGCTCAATTACAACCCTGCTGCCCTGTGGCTCTTGTCCTTTCAGGTCCCACTACACAAGTGACTTTTCAACACAGCTCTAAGTGTGTCTGAACTTGAGTTTCCCCTCCATCCACTGCTGTGAGAACAGTTCGCCCACAGGACTGGTATGTAGATATTTGGTTTATGTCCTGGGCTCAGAGACTAGAACGGAAGAGACAGAGAAACACGGGAGGGGGAAAGACCATATTGAGTCTAGCATGGGGTCAGAGAGTGAATCTTGATCTGTTTTACCCTCTGGAAGAATACACAGATGCCTTTTTAGAGCTGGTTTCCTGGGGACCAAACGGTAAAAGAATTATTTTCCAGCCTCCACCCCACACTGGATACCCACACACTTCTGGAATATGAGTTTATAAAGTGGGGTCCTGCTATGTGTACAGGATTAATGCTGATCCAAGGTAAACATGAAAGGTCACTATGGGCTCTTACTGGAGGCCAGAGATGACAGCTGAGTGTGAATGGAATCCTGTCCCTGCACACCCTCCTCATCACAGTCATAACATATTAGGTGAAGCCAAGAAAATCTAAGGAAAGGGGATCCAAGGCTGTCTGGGTTAGGGACCTCAGCCACCCCTTCAATGCACTCCTGGCCCTCACCTTACTCATTGCTATTCAGGTGGCTGCTTCAAGGCAGCTCCTGAGCTGACCTCTTTAAAACACAAAGCACAGAGTTAGTGGAAGAAGATGCAGTCCCCACTACTGTGTCTGAGCGCCCCCTTCCCTTTCCTGGGTCATGATTACTATGGTTGCCTGTTGCTGGCTTCATCCTCTGAGGGGGGCGACCACCATATTGTGAAGTTCATCTGTGTCTGCTTGCAACAGGTTGTCCCAGTTTGGGCTGTTGACGGTTTGCATTCCCTAACAGAGGTGAAGAAGGGTGGAGACCCTCACTTCAGTATCCAGCCACTCCCTGCCACCCATTGTATGCACTACCTGCGTGAAGCCCCAGGGAAAGAATACCTACAAAGGAAGAGTAGAGGAGGGGTCTGTCTCCATCTGTCCTGCTGTGGGGGAGCCAGCATCCTTGCTGGGTAAAGACTTTCTGTTGTGGTCTCTTTTGCAGGGGGACATCACCCACACTCTAGTAAGTGACCTCTCATCCATGTTCTGGAAGGAAGGGACAATACACTTATTGGTTTCCCAGGGTGAACTTGGGTAGGATCGTGCCTCTGTTTGTTGTTGGAATCATAGAAAGAGGGACCACAGTTGTAAGACCTTGCTTACTTAATTTCCTTCTGAAAAGGAAGTTGGGCAACCCCAGCTGAGAAAAGCTAAGATGTTCACCTGGATCCTGCAGACCACAGAGAGTCTTGTCCCCCCAGGAAAAGCCTGGGCCCCTGATGACAGCTTGGAGGTTTTGTGGAGACAGCAGTACATAAGCATTACTCAACAAGGGTGGACTTAGATAACGAATGGGTCTAAGACTGCCACATGTCACACATTCAAGGACCCACTGTGCATACTCTGGATATGGCCAAGCTTCTGGCTGTTAACTGTCTTGCCTACAGTAAACATGGGCCCAGAAATTTGCGTGTCCTATGGCTGTTCTTACGGGTCCATCTGCCTGCCTTTTCCTCATTGCTTCAAGTCTTCCTGTCTTGCCCACTCTGGACCCTAACCCATCAATCAGGTCTTCCTGTCTGCCCAGTGTCTATGTATTTTCTTGCTTCCATTCACTTCTCCATCCCCACGAGGACCCTCTCCTGCTTGCTGCCACCCACTGAATGATTTCCTGCCACTATTGTCCTCTGGTTCCATCTCAAGTATGGTCAACTCATCTCTAACCTAGGATGTGTTGTTGCTTTTGTTCATTCCCCTAAGGGTTGTGGGATCTCCATCTCCCTCCCCATTCCTCACTATGAGGCTATTATGTGAGATATCTGAGAAGCAGTAGTATGACAGTAGGTGACATAAGAATCAGGGTCATCTGCCTCTTGCTATAGGGTGCTGTCTGGGCCTGCTCTAACTTAACCCATGTATCCCACTTCATCATAACTGTTTCTGTAGTCCCTCTGCGGGGGGATTAACATTGCAACACTGGTGGGGAGGAGGAATGTGTCGTCTAGTGGGGTCTCAGGATGGCCAAAGTCCGCACTTATTTATTGTGACAGAGAGCATGTGGTTGAATGAGAATGGTTCCCATGGGCTTCTCTGTTTGAATGCTACATCCTCAGTCACTGGAACTGTTTCAGAAGGATTAGGAGGTGTGGCCTTGTTGAAGGAGGAGTGTCCTTCAACAAGGCTTCAAAGCCCACAGCAGGTTCAGTGTCTCTCTCTCCCTGTTGTCTGTAGGTCAGGATGCAAAGCTCTCAGCTACTTCTCTAACACCACGCCTGCCTGCAAGCCACCACACTCCTGTCATGGTGATCATGGAATAATTCTCTAAAACTGTAAGCAAGCCCCAGCTAAATGATTTCTTTTATAAGAGCTGCCTTAGTCACAGTGTCTGTTTATAGCAATAGAACAGTGATTAAGACAGTCAGTGCAGGAGAGGTAATACATCCCCAGGATAAGACACAATAGAACAGTGATTAAGACAGTCAGTGCAGGAGAGGTAATACATCCCCAGGATAAGACACAGTGTCTGTGGGGAACACATGACTCTATGCTTTCATCAAAAACCCATAGAAGCAAGAGACGTGAATAGTGGATTTTACGATGCAAGCTTTTTAAAAGATATGCCATAGCCTACAATCCTTGATACTCAGGAGGCTGATGCAGAAGGATCATTTGAGTTCAGGAATTGCCTTCAGCCAACATAGTGAGCAGAAGGCAATTCCTTTTCAAAAGCTTAAATTAATTAAATCAGAAACAGTGCTTGAGGACCCAAAATAAATAGCAAATGTACCTGATTTTTTTTAATAAATAACATTAGAATCACAGAGGAGAATGAAAAAAAATCAATGAAAGTCGCTTTGTAAAGCTGTGTTGCAACTAAATACAAGTGCTGTATTCTAATCAGTAAATGTATTTCTCAGTGGGTTCCCAATTCTGAATATATTTTATGCATCTGCTATGACACAAAAATGTAGCTATGGCTTAGAAAAAGAGAGCCAGTGTCTCATTGCAAGTAAGCAAAGATGCTGGCTGGAGCCAATTCTAGACTGTTCTACTCACATTTGAGACAGTGTACATTTTAATAGATAAAGAAATGTAGATGTGATAAATGGATAAATATATACATGGGTCATATTGGTAGATGGTCCATGGATGGATGGATAGATAGATAGATGGATAGATAGATAGATAGTCAGACAGACAGACAGATAGATAATAGGCAATAGGTATAACAGGTAAGTAATATATATGTGATAGACAATTGATAGATGATAGATGCATAGATAATGGTTAATTGGCTTATAGACATAATAGATGGTAAATAGATGCTAGATGCATATATTGATGACTGGTTGATTGATAGAAGATAGATAGATGATATATAGGTTAGATAGATAGATAGATAAAAACAAACTAACACACATATTTTACCAGTGCATTTTCTAACTTTGCCTACTGTGAAACTGAAAGCAAAGCACAGCATCCCGTTGACAATGAGCACACATAGCACCTAGGTCTTCAGTTCTAAATGCCATTCTACAAATCAGTGAGGCAGAGCCTACTTGGAGGAAAGTGATGGAATCCAGGAATGGGTCAGGGGATGAACTAGAGAGATGAACATGGATGATTTTGTTATGGCAGAAAACAAAGTGTGTCCAAAGAAGGATATGGGTTTATGCAAAGGTCTGGGGGCCATCCTAGAGGAATTTCAAGGACCAAACTGGAACAATTTAAGCCTATACTACATCTGGGTGAGTAGTATACTGGCTGGTAAATACTGCCTCCCATTGTGTAGGCTACCTGTTCACTTGCTTCCGTTTCCTTCACTCTACAGAAGTTCTCAGTTTCATGATATCCTATTTGTTGCCTATTGGTCTTATTTTCCATGCTACTGGAGTCTTCGGAAAGTCATTACCTGTGCCTGAAGTTAAAGTGTACTTCCTACTTTTTCCTAACTTTCACGAGTCAGAATGAGTTGGTACCATAGGTGGATTGGTAAAGCATTAGAAATGTATGCATCCTCACACAGACATGCACTGTCCTCTGACAGGATGGGTGAGCTCAGTAGGAACTTTCACATAGTTTAACAAGAAGCTCTCATGACACCGAGTTACTTCCAGGTCAGTGGACAAAGAGGGACAAGAGTGTTGAGGAAATGTTCTGTATTCTCAGTAAGAGAGCCTGATGCACCACAGGTAAGCCCAGCTCTAAAAATAGCTACCTAGAAAATGAATCACAACTTTCTATAGTGTAAGAAAGCAAAGGGGAAATGGGCAAACATTTCTCATAAGAAAAGGAGTTCAAAGATGCTTCTATTACATGGCCAGCTTTCTCAGTTTTATTGCTCAGGACAGGCAGGATGCAACCATGTAGGAGTATGCTGATAGGCTGGGACCAGTGGCTATGGAAGCACACCAATGGGTGAATTTGGTACTGAAGAGTAATCCTTTAGTTTTCTTCAGGAAAGGACCGTGAATATGGACAGCTCAATGCCTCCAGCTTGGTGCCTCGTGTCCTTGTCCATCTCCACAAGGGCTGTGCAGGCCAGGCTTACTCATAGTAGCCGAGGGCCTTGGCAGAACACCCTGTGATCCCACCAGAACATGAGCGTGGGAGGCTGGTGAGGAGCCGTTAACAGGCATTTCCCCAGTCAGAAAGCTCTTTCTCACCACCTCCCAGCTTCTGCAGATGTCTCCGGCTCTCTGCCCTACTCCACTCCCAACCCCTACTGCTGGGGTTAGTGGCAGCCTCTAAAGCTGCTTACTCACTTCAAGAAATAAGTTCTCTGAGATACTGTGACTCTTCACACTGCATCCATCTCTCTTGCTTTGAGATCCTCTGATAAGACAAGAGGTGGTTACTCGGCACTCTTACTTCTGTCATCTGTGTGATTATAAGGGGATTAGACAAAAAGCCTGAACCTTGGCTGGAGCAGGCTGAACTTGCCAGTGGGGACACTTTTACAAGATTTGGAATTTAATGTTCTAGCTTTCACAGCTGGGATGGCTTTACTAGCTGGCTTTGTTGATCAACTGGACTTGGATTTAATGGTGACCTTCATCCAATGAGGTCAGAATGTCAGAACTTCTGTAGCATCAAAGAGGACAGAACCCAAATGCTTAAAAGGATGAGAATGAAGAAATGGGTTTCATGTAGAACCCACTCTTTTCTGCGGTAACCAGCTCCTCAGACCTGGCTGAGTGGTACTCAGTAAGGATCTATCATCAAATTACTTTGAAACTTCTGCTACCACCTCCTTTGGTAGTGCAGTCCAGAGAAGAGATCTGTTACCAGCACAGTTTCCCTGACCTTGTCCAATAAGAATAAAGGACTCCCAGATGACTGGGAGCAGATATCAGCATGAGCCATCAATACTTGGGACTCACATAATGGAAGGAGGGAAGGACTCCTGCAAGCTGTTCTGTGAGTTACACAGTCATGCTGTGACACACAGCAGCCCCCTTCCACAATAAATATGCGAATGTAAAAGTATTCAATTAAGTATTACGATTACATGGGAGTGCATGCCTGTAATCCCAGTACTTAGGAGGTTGAGGCAGGAGACTTGTGAGCTTGAGGCCAGCCTAGGCTCCACAGAAAATTCCAAGCCAGTCCAACCTGTCAATATTCAGTCTCTGCTAAGGTTCAGCAGCAGGTCAAACATTTCTAAAAATTAAAGTAGTTACCCCTGGGAAATAGATATCTTTGCTCCAGTATTGTGAGGCCAGGACATTTCGCCTGTAGCAACCACTGTCACTGCAACACCACTGGCTCTGCTGGAATCCATAGCCCAAGCAAGCAGCAGCACAGCTCACAGTGCTGCCTGGATCTATCAGGGAGCCTTCTTCTGTTCTGGATTCCATTCAGATGAGCAGCTCTCTGGGTCACTTAGTAAGTGACAGTAACACCCAAGTAAGGAATGTGTTGTTTCCAAAGTCCAAAGAGGCCAACTAGGTTCCATTTCTCTCTTTAATTTAGTTGTTGAAAGGTCCATATGCAATAGTTCCTCCTTCACCTTAGATGTTTTGGCATATCTGAAATGACTGGGACATTTGAATCTCCCCCACAGAATGCTCCTAAATTGTGATCATATTCATTTCCCAATCTTGACACACAAATCTTGCCAATAAATAGAGAGTTACTGGGGCTTCTCCCTCAGCAGCTTCAATCAGCACAATGCTATTGAGCCAATGGCCCAGGGTGATGCCTTGTGGAAAGAGAGGTCAGGGTTACTGAAGACTGAATTATGACACAGCTAGGGGTTAATATGCCTCTGAGGTAAGACCGTGAAAGGACACTACTGGCCTTGCCAGTTGAAAGCAAACAGTTTGAGTTCTCGGAACACCTAACACTAAAGAAAGAGCCTCTGCTGCGTGAGAGCCTATTAGTCAATTAGGTCTGATCAGCTTAATGATGAGATGGCTCACCAGGTAAAGGCACTTGCTGCCAAGCCTGATGACCCGAGTTCAATACTTGGGACCCACATAATGGAAGGAGGGAATTGTCTCCTGCAAGCTGTTCTGTGAGTTACACAGTCATGCTGTGACACACAGCAGCCCCCATCCACAATAAATATGCAAATGTAAAAGTATTTAATTAATTATTACGATTGAATAAAGAATAGAGGAAAGTGAGATGGTAAAGCACGGGGGTCATAGCACAAAGTAGTTCTGCATGATATTGCTCATTTTCACAGTCCTGTGCGCTCCTAAAAGTCCACAAGCTTCTGGTAAATGCAATATTTACCAACAGCATATATATGTACATATACATATATATGTATATATATACATTGACATGTGTGAGAGCATTCACATATTTCTCTGCTCTGTAGGAGCAGTATCAACAAGTGTGCCTGGCATTCAAGTCTTAGCAGGCGGTGCCATGCAGTAATGAGAGGAACTGGGGGTCAGACAGCAATGGCTGACTCTGGCAATGCTAGGAAAGAAATATCCAAGAAGAACCTGGGGCATTTTATAGTGCCAGCAATAACAAAACTCAAAAGTAGGCAAAACTCCATTTTTTGGGGCGATGTTAAAGAAAAAAAAGCATGGGACTGAGTTCAAGAGCTCCAACTGGCCAGGACTAGAACAATTCAAGTGACAAAATGAATGGTATTAGGTCATAATCCAAAGCATAAAATGAACAGCCACAATTCAAACTCAAATAAGTTGGATTAAACAAAAGGTAGGGGGAAGAAAAGCATATATCCATTCAAAAAAATTCCAGGTAATGAAATGTGGATGTTCCAGGCCGAAGGAAGTGGGACATGCCTCTTGCTTAGTATGGGCTGCACAGGAGATAAAGAAAGTCTCAGCAGTGGGTGGGGAGGTTTGATCTACGGCTCAGCCAGATGACCAGGCTCAATGACTCCTAAGGACTGGTTGACGGCTCGTGCATATCATTCCTTGCTGGGAAATGCTATGACTTCCAGTTCTCAGGAATGGCAGGTTCACCAGAACAAAACTATCCAAATGCAGAAGTGTGGAATCTAAAATAGCAGAAGAGCATAACCAAAAGCTTCTCCACTTTAAGGCTTCCCAGATACCAACCTCTTCTGTTCCTCGGATCAGTCAATGCCAAGTCATCCATGCATTGTGAGGGAGAAATCTGTGCTTTCCCTGCTACCCACAATACTGATGCTTACCTCTGCAAAGGACCAGACAAAAAACAGAGGGGACAGTGGCACCCACAATGTGGCAGCCTGTGAGAGTTTGAGGCAGATGGCATAGGACTCCAATATCACACACAGGCATGCATACATGCTTTTACACCAGCTGTCTGGGTCACTGGGACACTCACATGTCAAGTTCAAGGAGAAGGCACAGAGGACAAAGTGTCAGAGAAGGAAGCAGAAGACTCTATCTACAGTGAAGATTCCACTTGCTCTGTTCTTAGAAAGAGAAAAACCCCAAAAATCCCCTGTTGGGTACCTTTGTAGGCTTCTCTCTATCTGTCTCTGTCTCCCTCCTCCTCCTCCTCCTCCTCCTCCTCCTCCTCCTCCTCCTCCTCCTCCTCCTTTTAAACCAAGGACCAGGCACATGTGTATCTTGCATGCAAAGGTGACTCAGGAACTCCACATCAACTGAGGCAAGGAGAGTTGTTATCTTCAGTTTAGACAGAAACCATCAAAGATCTGTACAAGGCGCCCCACGACGCAAGCTTCATGAGGTGCAATGTACATCACACTACATGTTGGTGTTGTCACCTGCTGTTTAAACTTACTAAGAGGTGCCTCTGAAAGGAGGGTCCACCCAACCACCCCCAGCAGGCATGTTGATCTCGTGTCACACAGGAATCCTTGTGTGGTGATCGCCTACCTCCCCACTCCCAGCTCTGGCTCTGTGACAGGTCAGGTGAAAATAATAAACAGCAGCTAGTACTAATGAAATATCGAGTCCTAGGGTTGATGAGATGCTCAGGGGTAAAGCCACTTGCCACAAAGACTGATGACCTTAGTGTGACCCCCACACACACCTTTGCCCCAGATCCAGTGGTGGAAGTCGTGGACCAAATCCCACAGGTTCTAACCTTCACAGATCTGCCATGGCATGCACTAAAGGTTTTATAAAAATGGAAACACTGGATTTAAAAAAACAGCTAAAATGTAAACTATTTTCAGTGGACATTACTATAGCTTACCCCATGGTGTAAAAACGCTTGTCTCAGAATGGAAGCTAATCACCCATGGAGAAGCAGCTCAATTGAGAGCTCCAGCTGACTGCCTCAATTTCCCCCACTTGATTTCTCCTGATGTTTACAAGCCTCAGATTTGATGATGTCACCTTTGTCTGCTCTTTGAGTCATGTGCTGCACATTGTAAGTGCCAAGCTGATGATGTCTTGCTCTCTGTCTATCACTTGTTATTGATTCTTTCACTTTTGCTCACTCTTTCAAAATCAAAAGAACCAACCAAACAACAAACAACACAAAATGGCTAGCATAGACCCAAAGGACCTGAGAGAGGGCCACCCACAAAAACCCCACTATGCTGCCCGGCATCTAGTTAAAGTGTTAACTGGCATTTGTTGAATAATTATGGAAAAGTAGAAAGAGTTGTAGCAATTTATTCTATGCTAGGATCTCGTTTTGCATGCCAAAATCATTGTCTTTTCCTTCTTCTTCTTCTTCTTCTTCTTCTTCTTCTTCTTCTTCTTCTTCTTCTTCTTCTTCTTCTTCTTCTTCTTCTTCTCCTCCTCCCCCCTCTCTCCCCTCTCTCTGTAAACTGGGTCTCCAAAATCATCACTTTTATGGACTGAGAATCTTATAACTGATCCAAGAAAACACTATCTCCCAGCAAGGAGAGTCCTCCCCTGCTCCTGACATCCTGCCTGCCTTGGCCCCATCTCCAGCTTCCCCACCAACCCCTCCTGTCCATCCATCCATTACCAGCTATTCACTGCTATGCAACCATTTGGCTGTGATCTGCTCAGACCTGGCCCACAGGATCTCCTTCTCTCCGTGTTCTCTCTCTTACTCATTCCTAATGTCTGTTCAAGCCCACGCCCTTGGGTATGTGCCTTCTTGCCTGTTTCCAATCCTGCCAACTGAACCCTGGGTGGAGAAGTGACTATTTCAGAGTCGACTTCCAAGTAGGTGTTCAAAATTGTGGTTGGACTGCTTCATTTGTGAAGTATTTTCTCCAAGGAAAAAGTGATCATGGCAGTAACTGGAAGTCACACACGATTCTATCAGGGTGGAGCTGTATGTGACCCACTGGTTTTAAAAAGGAAAAATGAAGAAGGCCACAAATCCAAGCAAGAGCTGGCCCCATCCAGAATGGCTATTTTCAAGTTCCATACAGAGTCAGATGTGAATCTCAGCATTGTCAATAAAAGCAAATGTCCATCTTAGGGATGCTGAATATGATACTGAACTGAGTATACGTGTGGTTTCAAGGGTCTGAAGTAGGCAGTTTAATACACCTGGAGAGCAAGACAGATTCCTCTATCTGCAGGCAGTTGCCCTGCTCCATGGGGCTAGCTACGCTCTGCCTGCCCCATCCATCTTTGCTGAACCTTGTCACTCAACCCAGAACAAGTCTCCTTTGTGTCCCCATGTCCCCAAGGACCCTGTCTCTCATTGGTCTCACCATTTGGATGTGAACTCCATGGGGACCTATCCCAAAGCCTGATAGTATATGAATGAATTTATTACCAAAACTGTAAAAGAAAAAAAATGAACTCTTTCTACAGCATCCATTTCTCCAGGCATTCTTGGCAAGCACAGCAAATTTGTCCTTCAACGTTATGTCTCTTATTCTTTTGAGTTCTGAAATTCTCCCCAAGTAAGAAGCCAGTGATGTGAAGAACAGAGATTAAAGGACACATTCTGGGGTCACCCATCAGAGGTCACACTCTCAGCTTGACCACTGCTTTCTAGACATGTGCTCTTGGCTGAGTGGCCAGCTTCCTTATTTGTGTATTAGGCACAGCTTTGCAAGGTCATGGGTCCCAAACTGTGTGCCCTGCTTGT